GGTTGTTTTTTGTTGTCATTTTCTATGGCTTTAACTTTCTAATGAAGTTTATTCTTTTAGGAAGGGAAAGGTTGTTTCTACTTCACAGTATTGCTTAGGTTTTCTAGTGTTTCCCCAGAATGTTCATGAGCATTCATCACCCATAAAAGAAGTTTCGTCTACTGTGAACCTTCCAATATTTTGAGATCATGGGATCACTGATTTGTGAGGTGCAGTAAAACTATGTCATATGAGGAGAACCAGACCAGGGGCCAGAGATAACAGTGTTATGTAGACTCTCGGTGGCCAGAGAAAATTTTGTTTTACAAGATTGTGTCCGTGTTTGGTCACTAAAGCTAAGCAGAGGTGAATGAAAGAACATTACTTTAAAGGTATTAAAGAACATGCCGAAAGCAAACATTTTTAGCACAAAGCATTCCAAATGGGGTAGAAGAACATAGTCAGCATAGAGCAGCCAGACAGCCTATGCTTTCCATCTGTGGATGCCATACATGGGCAACATTGCTGCTCGAGCGTTTACTACAGTAAAAATACAGCCAGTACCAGAAATCTCCATTCCAGTGTTTCCTTCCTCTTTGTTCTTTCTTTTCTCCCTCTCTTACTTCCTTTCCTCTGTGCTCATTCCTCCTTTCAATCCTTCCTTTTTTCTTTTTGAGGGCCCACATGAACTCACAATAACCATAACATGATAGCATGCAAATCAAACATAAGAATTGTTTTATGTGGAAGGCTGAGAGATAGAGAAAACAGGCTCAGCCAAGAAAAGTGACTTTGGCTACGTCATTTAGCCTTGTTAGACCACATATTACTCATTAGTGAACTACGTTATTGGACTGCACACTTAGCTGACTTCTAACTCTAAAATTTCATGATTCTAACTTTCTAATTTCTTAACTACCTTGTGATCTTTCAGAAGGGCCATAATGGCTGAGTGCAGGCTTACTACCGCAGGCCAGTAATGAGTCATCATCAGTGGGGGCAAACTTACAGAAACCTGTACTAGGTGCCTGGTACAATAAATCAGGAAATACTGTACTTGAACAAAGTCTCAAAAACAAGTGTTTACACCAAATATGTGGTTAGATGTTCTTGGTCCTTACAATTGGGATTATTATTCCACTCATTTGAGAAAGACTTCATGAAAGGAATGGGATTTGAAGGAATTTTTAAATTTTTGGTTTATCCGTAAGTGCCCAGAAGAGACCTGTATAACTCACACTGCCACTTTTCTGTGGCTTTCCTAGTAAAAAGAGAATTTAAGTGACTTTTTGCTGCATATTGACCAAGAAAAATATTTTCTCCTCATTTTGAGAGAAGTGTGTGATTTTGAGAGAGAAAAGATCATTGCCCCATCAAATATCCTTATTCTGCCTATTTAAGTTTTACCTATGTAATTATGTATTATATACTTACTCTATGGAAATATGTCTTACTTCAAAGTTGCACAAATATTAGCATGAATCCTTGTTAAAAAGTTGTAAGCTACCATTTGTGTTTTGGAGTTGAAAGGTATTTGGAATAAAATATGAACAAATGGTAAATGTCTTAGAAGAATAGATTGTATAGAAATATTTATCGGGAACTGAAACTAAACGAGGTAAATCCCCAAAGAATGTACAGAATGAACTAATGTGCTATGCTGATAAGAAGCAAAGGATTCCAAATGGATGTTCATTTAAGGATATTTGGCCTCTAATGACCCCTTAACTAGCCTCTTAAATTTGATCAGCTGTAGATTTTTCTGCTGAAGAAATTTTTTTTAAAGAAAATATCATTATGAAATATAATCAGCTTGTTTTTTGTCATCAGACATGAAATCTAATATGGCAGTTTTGCTTTCCTTAATCTTTCTTGTAGAATTAAAAGGCAAGTATAAAATTGGTGTTTTAACAGATATGTAGAGGCACTATTGCATTACCTGTTGCCTCAAACACTGCTTTTTTCAATTGAGAATTTCCAAATCATGACAGTTTTAAGCACAATTTCACAACTATTAAATATGTTAAAAATCCTCTATTAAGTATGAAGAGGACTGCCAGGAAATGAGTCCTTAGAGTAGGGGAGTCACACATGCTAGGCATCATTAGATTATTTTAGAGTAAACTTTAACATGTTCTTCCTATTCTTTACTCCACTTTTGGGTTTCTTACCTCCAGGAGGTGTGTAGAAACAGTTGAGCTGAGCTTCACGCACCAAAGTGCCCTTAAACTTCACCTCTGTCTCAGCAGATGAGTGGCTGGGAAGCGGCTGGTACGCAGGCACAGCGGGCTGGACAAAGGCTCGAAGCATGGTGAATTTCCAGATGTGCACTGATAGGTCGATTTTTAAAAATAAGTAAATATCCTGCTCAAAAGCTTTTCTCCTTGTAAGTGTTTAAAACCTAGCAACCATTCCCACAGTCACATTTTAGTGCTGCACAAGTTAATGCAGCCATATTATCGTATCACTGCAAATTTAGGTGACAGGAATTTAAGTTTTAGAATCCTAAAAACCACACCTCTTTTGCGGTTCTTTTCAACCCCGTCTTTTTCTTTCTCCCGTGCTGTGCTCACTGCCTACCTAAGGCCGGGCCTCTCCCCCAGTGGCTTTACAGGAAAACTCTGACTGAAATGTGAGGTTAATGGTTTCTGTCAGCCTGTCAGCTCATCACCTCCCGAAAGCATGATGATCTCTGGTTTCTATTTGTCACCACGGGCTGCTCTGATACACCCTCTTGTGTAGAAGAGTGATAGGTTTGTCCAGGGGTCGGTGGACCTTGGGCCTAAGAGACAGGAAACTTTAGTTGGAATGTGCACTTTCATACAATTCACTGCCCCTTTCCCAGTGGAATGCTGCTCAAGTGGCAAAACTATTTTAGGGAGAAAAAATGAGGCCCAGGGCTACATTTTATCTTGGCGCTACCTTTCAGTAGCTAGGATTGCTGGTAAATCTGTTCCCTGCCGCGCCCCACACCCCCTTGCTATTTAAATTTTATGTTCAAACTAAAAACTAACTAGATTGAAAAGGGCTATTTCTAAATGGTTCGTTTTAATCTTAAAGTCAAGTTGCTTAGAGATACATGGTCATGTCCTAAAGAAATCTCCACAATGTCTTATATAATCACTTACAAACACAGTCTTACTTCACTCTTTGACATCTGAAAGATGTTTCTGTAGCATTTCCCCTCCCTAAATCCACATTTTAGTTATCTCCCAGTAGTGATATTATCAAATTGCATTTCTATTTGTATCAACAGTCTCCTTGGCATCCTATCCTTATGAAAATCTAGTTCCTTATGTCAAGTGTCATAAATGTGTAACATCAAAGAAATGACACCCAAAATATTTCTACTAATATGTTTTACTGTTGAGACCCAAGTGGCTGGCTCTTCCCTCTGTCATTGGGCCTCGAATTTCTTAGCTATGCTGTGTTTGTCACCCATGCTGCCACCTTTCTCCTTGGATAGTTTTGAAAGACTCTGTCCCCAAGGTAGAGAATAGGTAACCAAAAAAGAGACAAGGTTCCTAGTTTTGTCACTAAGATTAAAGCCACCAAAACACAAAGGGTATTCAGACTTATTGAGCAGTTGAATGCCATGTACTTACAAAAACATGAAGCTAGGTGGGTTAGCGTGCAGGAATCTGTGTAGGCAATCAGGGAAGGCAATTAATGTTGATGGACTAGAAACAACCTTGAATAAAAATTTCAAGATACATATTTAATGATCTTGTAATGAACTCAATTCTTTTTCAGAAGATTGTCATTGTATCAAAGGGCAACATGTTTATGTATTTCTAAGAGGGTAAAATGATCCTATTCAAGAAAAAGCTGTTTTCTTCCACTTTCCCCCCTTCACACATGTAGGTAGGTAAGATAAAGATACCTGGTACACTAATCATACAAAAAGTTAAAAACCCATTACCACCTTTCGTCAAATTAGTAATTCAGATTTAGAAGGTTCCTTTTTAAAATATTTGCTTAAAATAGCACTAAAAAGACATTTCCTGTGCCTTTTGATACCTAAATTGTTACTGACAAGAAGCAGAAATTCCCTATCAAGGCACTGGTGAGTGAGTGGGGAAAAAGTCATAGTTAAAATATCACAGCTGGTTTAGTGACCAAATAATATTCACATAATAAAATGTTTTGAAAGTGTACCTTAAAAATATGTTTTGTTGGTTTTCATGGCTTTATTATCACATTGCTGCTATTTTCAATGAAGATTTTTAAATGTCTATGTAGTGAATACAATACTTACATGATTAACACCATTAGATCCTCAAGTAGGTATTTATATGGAACTGTTTGGCCTTTGCTACAGAAATGATATAGATAGGCTCATACCAAAGTATACAGTTTATTTGAAAATTATTAAATGAATCAATAGCAGCTATATTATACCACATATTTCCTTTATTACTAAATGATAGTCATTTCTAAGCTTTTGATAGTTGTAAATTTTCTGTACAGACATTTTGAAGTCCGAGATTTATTTATTGACTTTAATTTTTCTTGTACCATAACCTAACTTACAATTTACAAAACCAATTTCTCAGTTAACGTTTACCTGACAGATGGAAAAGGAAGAGGGGTTTTTAGGCCTAATTTGTGCATCAGATTTCTGAATACTTGAAAATAAAAATGAAATATGTGTGTGAAATGTGCAAATGGACTATAGAAACATTACATTTCAAATCCAGGAGTTTAGAAATTCTAATTCCATTTTCAGTCTCTAGTTATCTGTTAAGATATATTTACCAAATGATGTTCAGGTGCATATTTTTAAGGGCAGTGTGTGTGTGTGTGTGTGTGTGTGTGTGTGTGTGTGTGTGCACCTAAGACCACTACAGATTTCTCTGTGGGCTTAAAAAATTCCAGTGCTAGGTTTTCAAGCTTTAACTCCAATGACTGGTTTCATTTGTTCAATAATTGTGTATATTCATTCATGATGGAAAGGGAATTTCTTTCCATTCTGAAGTTTTGAAGATGCTCATAATTTGTTTGATATGTTTTTTTTGCAGTGTCCATTTATGGAATTTGGTTTTATGATAAGGAAGAATGCCAAAGAATTGCAGAGCTTATGAAAAAGTAAGTGTTGAAACACTGCATACCATTGTTTAGGACCTAGTGCTTTTGTTTGTTTTCTAAGTATGTGTCACTACACCATAATCTTAACAGAATCTCTCTCTAACTGCAATCCTTTTCAAGTGGTTATAAAAATATTTACAATTACTTTATAAATGAAAAACAGACATAAATCCAACTTTTTACATTTTCACTAAGTAACATTTATCATATGGAATGGCTCACCTCATTTTTTTCTGCATATGTGAAATACCTGTAATATGCATTGTTGCAGATGGCACTTTTCCTTAATATCTTCCTTATTTGTGATTCAGCAGTTTTTTCTTTGAAAGTTATCAGTAAGTCTATTAGCTAAAAGAACATTGAGAGTCATTATGAAAGGCTGCTCCAGGTTCTCTCAGATCTTTCATTTCCTTCCTGCCCTAAGTGCTTTCCTTTCATTGAGCACCACAGTTGTAGAGGCTCGGTTTCCTCACACCTCCAGTGCTCTGGGTACTTCGGACAGTCTTTGTTTTCCATCTCTTTGGAATTACCTGAGGTACTATTAGGTTAGTGATCAGTAGACAAATTAGTCTCTACCCCACCCCGCCTGCCCCATCCAGTCTCTTTTTCTTCTAATCTCTTGACACCTTGTGATTTGTCCTATTCTGCATTTTGGGAAACTTAAATTACTGCCTGACTTCCCCACTCTTGGCTTCCCTGGTTGCATAGAAAGGAGGGCCCAGGTAAGTATGCTGCCTTCTCTGTGACTGGTCAACTCTTTGATCAGTTCTTGAGCCCAGGGATGTGTGCTGTGAGGCAGTGATTTCCCTGCTGTGTATGGGGATGGTTTAGCGGGGGTGTCCAGCCTGCACCCCATGGGCCACATGCAGCCCAGGGTGGCTGTGAATGTGGCCCGACACAAAATCGTAAATTTACTTAAAACATTATGAGATTTTTGTGTGTGATTACATCTTACACTGTATTTAATGTGTAGCCCAGGACAACTCTTCTTCCAGATGCCAAAAGGCTGGCCACGTCTGGAGCCTCAGAATGAAATGTTTCCCACTTGTGCTGTATGTCAGTGGTGACTGGACTCAGCTGAGGACATAGTATGGCTGCTGCCCACACGGTTTGACAAAGCAGCTCTGTGCGCAAAAAAATAAAAAACATTTCCAGTTTTAAATCTTGGGCAATGAGGTTACTAAAAAGTGACCCCCAAAAATGAAACTTGGAGAGCACTTCTTACAACTGATTTCTGAAAATCTAGCTTGTGATGGATAATTTTAGGTAACTAGCTCTGGTTTCAGATGGTGATTGTGTTCAAACTAGTATTTACTACTATAACAGCTAGTTCTTAGAACATGCATGTTATTGTAAACTGTGCAATGGATAATGATAGCAGGATTACATGTAAATTAAAAATTACCCTGTAGCTCAGCCAAGAGGCCATGTTAAAATTGTTAGCATTCTGCAGTAATTGCTTAGCAGCTGGGGCAGGAAATTGATTGTTGACTAGCAATAAGCAGCTGATTTGTATGGATTCCAGTCCTTCCTCACTTAGAATTAAATCTCTCAATAAATTCTCAGATCTCTTTGGCCACAAACTTCATGACAATTATAAAAGAATTTGAGCTGAAAGTCAAAGCACACAAAAGGAAAAAGTATTTTTATCAATGCCACCTAGCAGTGTGTAGTAGCAATCTGGCCTCCCTTCTGCAGTGTTTTCAGGACCACGGAAGACATGCCTCATTGCCCTGTTTTTTTAATGCCCCTTTTCTAGAATGGAATCTTCATTGTGTTTCTGAACTGCCAGAGAAGCATAGGATTTGGATGGCTGGAATTAAACTTCTTTTGACTTCAAGGCACTTGGGAATGAAGAGGGGGAAATCTGATTTGCCATGCAATTTGCTCAGTCTTTGAGAATTCTGCAATTGGGTTTCCTTAGCAATTTATGGTCCTTTCAAGTGCTCTCAATGAGTTGGCAAACTTTTTCGTTAGAAAGCCAGATAGTCAATTTTTTTTTTTTACAAGGCCATACCTGACTCTGTCACGACTACTCAACTCTACAGTTAGCGTGAGAAAGCAGCCGTAAACACAAGAGCTGTGTTTGTCAAAGGGGCAGCAGTGGGCTGGGTTTGGCCTGTAGGTTGGAGTTTGCCCACCATTACTCTAGACTTATATATCTAGTCATGTACTCAGGACCTCAAATCTCACTCTTCTTCTTTCATTTCTTAAGCAGTCTTATTTCTAATAGGAGTATAACAGGACAAAAACAACTGGGTGAGAATTGAATGGTTTTAAAAAATCTTTTGTGTTGAATTGGTTTTTCTCGCGTGGATCTTCCCCTCTACTTTTCTAGCCTAACTCAGTATGAACAGTTGAGAGCCCATCAAGGAGCTGGAGCAGGAATCTCCCCAATGATCCTCAGTTCAGGAGAGGGGAAGGAAGTAGATATCTTACGAATGCTCACCAAGGCCAAAGATGAATATACAAAGGTGAGTTTTTGTCTTCCCTTGTGATACATACTTAATTCCCACAGAGAGAATATACTCATTAAGAAAGACTTACCTGCTCTTCCTTCCCCCAAACAAAATTAGATGAAAAAAAAATATTTGCTTTTAATAGGCTAAAAAAGACTGTTTGCTTTTAAATGGATTAAAAGGTAGCCTGAGAAATCAGTAACCTTCATACATATAAATAGTATCTAATCAAAAGATTTACTAGAAGATACCCTTTAAAATAGCAACAAACTAATATAAATTCTTTGGAATAAAATTCAAGAAACAAGCAAAACCTATATAAAGAAAACTTTTAAACACCCCTGAAAGGCATAAAAATAGACTTGAACAAATGCAAATAAATATCCTGATCTTAGATAAGGAGATAAAACTTCAGGTTCTCGCTTCCATATAAATGAATCTATAAATTTAAGACGACTCTTAAACAAATACAAACTGATTTCCTTTTTCCTTTCTGGGGTCAGGCAAGTTGACTATAAGGTTCATGTGGAAAAATACACAAGGAAGAATGACTGGGGAAAACCCTGGCAAAGAAGAGCAATACTAGGTGTGAGGGAAGGGGGAGCAAGCTCCACCCACCTGATAGTAAGACATTAAAGCCTAAACACTGAAGGCAGTGCGGTACTGGTGTTGAGCACAAACCACCAGGTAGACCAATGGGACAGATGAGGAAGTCCAAAATGAGACCCCAGTGTATATGGAATTTAGGATATGATAAAGATGAAAATCCCAAATCAGTTACTTGAATAGATTTTTAAATAAATGATGTTGGGATAACTGGTAGCTATTTAGAAAAATATAAAATAGGGTCTCTATCTCATGCTATGTGCAGGATAAGTTCCAAATATATTAGAAATTTAAATGTAAAAATTGAACTATTCAAGTACCAGAAGAAAACTTGTATGAGTTTCTTTGTAATCTGGGAAAGGGGAAATCTTCCTAACCGTGACTCAAAACCCAAAAGCCATTAGCTTAAACCACATGAAATTTAAAAAAAAAATAGGTTGCATGGCTTTAAAAAACCACAAGCAAAGTATAATTTTTCAGCTGTCATGGGTATAATAAATGAGTACAGTTGACCCTCTAACAGTGCAGGGGTTAGGGGCACTGAGCCCCCACACAGTTGAAAATCCACATAAAACTTTTGACTCCTGGCCAAATTTAACTAATAGCCTAATATTGACTGTAAGCCTTACCAATAACATAAACAGTAGATTAACACATATTTTGTATGTTGTATGTATTATATACTATATTCTCACAATGAAAAGAGAGAAAAGATGTTATTAGGAAAAAAAATCACAAAGAAGAAAAAAATACACATACTATATTTATTGAAAAACATCGCATATAAGTAGATCCACACAGTTCAAACCTGTGTTGTTCAAGGGTCAACTTTGTGGTCAAAACAAAACCTTCAGTGTAAAAGAAAAAAATAAGTTAGAACTGTTAATGTTACATTTTAATTGGAAATGTCAGAATTCATTGACATTTTATTTCTTAAATATGTAGTTCGAAACTTTTTCCCTGAAAAAACCTAGAAATAAGTGACAGCCCCGTAGCAATGAGCATCTCTAGCCCCCAGATTATTGTTTCTATATACAATTTCCTCATCAAAAGTATTGGGGCTCTTTAAAGAAACGCCTGATTCCACCTCTAGTATATGAAAATCAAACAAATAGGGCCATGAGAAAGGGGCATAGTATCAACTTGAAGGGACCACTCCCCAAAGGAATGAACTCTGTCAACAGGGATGGCTGCAGTGGGCTGGAGCTCGCCAAGTGCATGAAATCTGTGAGTTCGCGGTGGTGAGAGAGCAAGCAACCAAAAGCATAAAGCAAAACAAAAATAATTATTGTCTGTCCTTGCAGGTACCAGGACACCAGCTTTTTACTCTGAAAATTGGTAGTTAATGGAAAATAATTAAGTATTTATTCTACCTGGCCAGTATGGACCATATTTTAGAGTAACCAAGTAGTCCTGGTTGATGAGGGAAAGTTCTCTGTTAAAGAATTCCAAGAATTTCCGTTCTAAATGTAGACGGAATGGCAGAATTTGGAAACACTGTAGTAAAATAATTGATCCAAGCGATGATCATCAGTAATGTTAACATTAAGAGAAGGACTGATGAAAACTTGACCATGGAAGGCCTAGGCTGCCACTGCCTGAGCCCATTGATCAGCATCAATAAAAATTGAATAACCTGACATAATGTGCCCCCAATGTGATATAATGTGAAACATATTACACTACCTTGAAATATTCTTGCCAAAAGAGTTGATCCTAAGTCTAAGTCTTGAGCTCTAACTTTCTAGTTTACAGTAAATGAAAGGGAGAAGGGAGGAAGGGCAGGTAGAAAACAAATAACACCACAAGAAAGCAGTCAGGAAAGTCGTGAGTGAAGTGAGACATACTAAAGGACCATTGGCTGAGTTCCTTTAACATGCCTTTGACTTGATTGTTGACTCAGCCCTATCGTAGCCTGTGAGTTCCTTGAGTACAGAGAACATCCCTTATTCATCTTTATATCCGTTGTCCTCTTTGAAGTTCCTGGCACATGATAAGTGCTAAATAAACAGCTGTTGAATGAATGAATGAATGAATGCGAATATGAATATGAATAAACCAGTTTCATTCTCCTATCATAGGGCTTGGACAGAGATGCTTTAATTCCAGTTCAGTCAGTACCAACTATTTCTATATTAGTTATTTTGTTTAATTCTGCAACAGTCTTTAAAAGGGCATCCTAATGACTTGGCAAATAGTCAAATAATTAATTATATTTTATTAATTGTACTTTGTTAGGCACACTAAAGATTAATCTTCAAAAGTGACGATTTACCCTCCAGGAACTTGGGTTCTGTGTGGCCAAAAAATAATAAATGCAAATATTGAACAAATATTTTCTTTTTCTTCTCTCTCTCCTCTCAACACACACACACACACACACACACACACACACACACACACAGTACTGTTCAACATTCATAATGTTTTGACACCTTAAAAATCTCTGGTTGGGGACAGGCTGCACCTACTAGGCTTTCCAACTCTTAGAGCCAAGGGCCCAGCCAGAAACATGCCTTCACTGTGCAAGGTAACCATCCACAGCCATTCCTTCCCTATCTGGCTGGGCTACACCACCCACAAGGCACCGTTCCTCCGCCTTACTCCTGTCAGGGCAGGGTCAGGCAGCTAGGGACCTCCCCTACAGTTGATACCCTGCTGAAATGATTCAAACTAGCTAGTCCAGTTACAGGAATGCCTGTAATGGCTCTAGTCTTGGTTTTCCCTTCCTTCTGTTTTCTCCCTCCTGACCACTGTGAGACTTTTTCACATGGCCCTGCGTGGTGGGCTGTGCCGCCTGTTTCTAGGACCTGTGAGTATAATAAACTTTGTTTCCTGAGCATCTCCAGTGCCTCCTCTTGTATCTACACCTGACTGTCTCATAAAATAACACTGAACACACAAACGCACGCACCCCCCATGGCTTTGGAGTCTTCACTTTATATTATACCTACCACTTGGAAAGCTTTTCCTTTCATTTTATTTGCCTTTCAGACTCTACATATCTTTCAAGTCCCAGTTAAAATGCCACTTTTTATGTGGAGTTTTCCCAGATCACTTCATTCAGATTAATGATTCTTTCCATTGAACTCACCAGTCTATTAGTATTTAGAATTCATTTTGTTCTTCCTCATCTATTATGGTTAAGTCAACTTGTCCTGCTACACTGTTAACTTAATGAAGTTGAAACAATGTTCTGTTCATCATTATGCTCCCACAGATTGATTCTAACAATGTTGACAGGAAGTGCAGATATTCAATGAAATACATGTTGCAGACATAATGTTAATTGCTACAACTGTGGGGAAAAGAACAGGAGAACTTCTTTCTGCCATTGGTATACCAACAGCCAGATGGTATAATGTAACTGTATGCTCATGCTACAGCCGTAGTCTAAATCCTTCCTGTTTTCTCTTTGCCTAGTATGTGTGAACCTGTAGACTCTTCGAGCCTCCCATTACATTGCCTCAGATGATTCTTCTAACCCCTTATCTTCTACTTCCGCTGCCCCCTACAAATATTTGAAACTCCTACCAAACAGAGTAATAATCTTGCTGCCTAAGAGTGCCTTATGCCTTTTCCCCTGCTATCACCTTTCCTTCTTTACCTATAAAATATCATCAGTTGTTCAAGGCCCATTTCACATGTTCTTTGTCCATCGTGTACTTCTGATCTACCCACCCAGGTGTTTATACTCCCCCATTAGCATCCATCGCATCTGTATATTTGCCTTGTGTCTGTGTTTTCTCCTCTCCTGCACACCAACAGACATTTCAGAAAATGTGGCGGTTGTGAGCCAAATGGTTCTGAAATACAGTAACAGGGGAAATGGAAAGAGGGCAAAAGGGGAAGGAAACAAGTTTTTTCCTCAGAGTTCTTGTTAAGAGGAAGTGAATTTTCTATTACTGAAAGTATTCAAGAAGAGATTGAATGAGGTTACATATTGGGGATAATATTAAAATTTTTTTACTTCTCTGTATGTGTTAAATGACTTCTGACATCATTTCCAACTCTAAAATTCTTAAGGTAAAATTCTTAAAATCCCAACAGGTTAGAAGAGGAAACATTTTGTGCTAGAGGTATGTGATATTGGTAAAGTGAAGCCTAGTGACACCAGATACAACTTTTTACATGAAGTTAATAAAATTATTTGAAAGATTTGAGTTAATATTTTATGCTTTGTGCTTTCTCCCTTGAGAAACAACTTTCTGTGAATCTGCTATAAAGTAACAATGATGTTAATTTGAGTGTCATTTATTTTACCTCCTTCCTTCTAGTCGAGATGCAGGTGAACCATAAAATCATCAAAGTTCAGCGAAAAAAATGAACTGGGCCAGAAGTGGTCTATAGGCTACACAGTTAGGTTTTTAGTATCCACAAAGGGATTCTTTTGTGTCTTGTAGTTTTAGGCAAGAATTAATAGTTCTCTTCTGGAAATAGCTGTGATCTGTTGTATTTATGAAATTAAAGAAATTATTAAGTGTCTTTTGATGTTCAATGAGAAAATTTTAAAAAGTATAAAAAAGAAAATAAAGACCACCTGTAATCCTATAACCCAAAGAAATCTACTTTTAACACTTTGGGTGTATTTTCTTTCATTCTTCCCTTTGTGTAGGTAATAGGTTTGTGTGTTTGTGTATGATAAAATACAATTATGTGACATAGTTTTTGAGACTTTAAAGAATTGCCTCAGGTTCTCTAGGAAGAATCCATTATAACTTTTTCCAAAACTGTGTTTTTATCCAAGTATTTTAAAGTTATTTAGGTCAAGAGAAGCATAGAAAATTAAGCAACTGGAAAATGAGCTACAAACTATTAAGGTGGATGATGTTTAATTTGGAGCAGTTTGATAGGGAGTGATTTTTATATACAAGCAAGTCTTCATAGATGGGTAGACAATTGCAGTGACATAGAAAACAGCTCCTGGCAATTGTACCTAGGAAGGTCTGTCTGGGGTTATGCAGGCAAGAGACAGAGCAGCTTGTTGGCCCATATGGATATATGCATAGTGGAGGTGGGGGAAAAATCTGTCTTTTCTGGCTTAAAATTCAAGGTCCCTGAACATAGGGAGGATGAAGAAGTACAGAAGGGTCATTCAATGAAAGTAATCTGTCTTTGCAAAGGAAGCAGAAGTTAAAGTTTTCTCGTGCTAAAATTTTGTGAGTGACTGTATCTTAGGCTGCACTCTGATCTTGTGTTGCTTGGCCATGTCTTGGAAAGCCAGGCCGGCCAGTCCATGTAGCCGAGCCACTGACCAGCCGCCATTCACCTAAGAATTAGAAATAGCATTTTATGATTCATAAAGTGATTTTACACCCCATTTAATACTAGTGCCAAATCCAAATTAGTTACAGAATTCTTGGAGGAAAATAATCAGTCCTTTGTACAGTTAACTTCACAAACCTAAGTGAACATGGTGGTAATTGACCCTGTACCTCTATGTGCTCGAATTAGAAAACACAGCCCAGTACCTGCAGAACACATTGGGGTGTTGTGTTTCAGAGGGACAAGACTGTGTTTATAAGCACATTCCAGTGTGAAATATTTTCTGACCTGAGGCTTTGACTGTACAGTTGACATTAACAATGTTATAGCGAATCCATAGTACAGGAGGTAGCGTTTTTATACTCTGGTATTTGGTGTTGTAACAAGTTAGATGCCAACATCACTGCTGTGCCCCTTCTGTTGTGAATCCCGCTGTGTAAGCAATTGCACGGTCGGTTAGATTAATGCATGGTAATGATTCAGTGTTTGAAATGATGAGGCATGTCTCTTGTCTCTTTCTCTGTGAAATTCTAATTTATAGTGAGTGGCTCAGAACACTCAGATTTGAATTATTCTGTTTATCCAAAAAGTCACTTATTAAATAAAGATGATGTTAGTAATTTTAAAATCAATGGTTTGAGTCAGCTTCACTTTTTGGTTTGTAGACCAAAAAGGGTTAGTTACTTTGATGATACAATTCTCCAATTTTAAGTCAACTGATAATGGGTGAATAAAACCCCACTGCTATCCAGACACGATATTTAAGGAATAGTTGCTATCATTGTTTATGATTGAAAAGCACTAGGCTATATTTTTACACTATTACTTCTTAAGCATATCGATAACCTTTTAAGTATCCAACTATCTAAGACGCTCTAGGTCTTACAGGCTGATGCTCTTGGTGATATTTTAGAGCACTCAACTGTCCAACTAAGAAAAATTAAATTTAAATTTTATTGAAGCTCAAATATAGTTCAATCAGAAAAAAAATTAAGAGATTTTTCCTTTGTACATGAAGCTCTATCAAAAAATAGCTACGAAGTAGGTAAAACAAAGAACAAGAAGGATGATATGTTCTTTTTAAAGAATAAAGCTTCTTTTACACCAAAAATGAGGTTCTTTTTTCCATTTCAGTGTAAAACCTGTTCTGAACCAAAACAGATAACCAGCTCATCTGCCATTTACGACAACCCCAATCTCATCAAACCAATTCCAGTGAAGCCCTGTGAGAGCCAGCAACAGCGCATAGCTCGGCCTGGCCAGGTATGTGGTTCTCTGTTTTTCATTCACAGTGTCTCTGAAGGGTTCTAACAGACTCGTACCCAGAGTGTAGTGAAGGGAGGGCCTGGTACTATTCCAGGATGCTCTAAGGTACATGCACAAAAGAGAGATTTCAAGTCAGAGACTTTATCATTATTAACAATTTACTCTTCCTCAAAAGGGATTAAAATCTTTACTTTTGGCATTTACCATACCCTGTGCTAATCTCTTGTGGACTTGGACTCCTTAGAGGATTAGTTTGTTGTTATTCCTTTTTAAAAAACAACAAACTAATAACATTGTCAAAGTTAATAGGAATATTGCCCACGAGGCCCATATTCTGCCAAAGTTGATGGGTTTCTAAAGACCACTGTGAAAAGGACAGCCAAGGCAACAAAATTCAGTTTAACATTTCTGAGCACCTCCTTCGTACCAGGTACAATGTTAGGCCACCATATATACAGAATTGGATTCCTGTCCTAAGGAGTGCTGAAGAAGTCCCCTTTAGACCTGATGATTTGTCATTGTATTTGTATCTAATTATAAATATAACAGTTTTTGTATGAATATCCATATATATGAATATAAATTTCAGAATAGTAAAGTATTAACAAAATTGCTAATCTGAGAGTCCCATTATTGACTGTAAATACAATGTGGCTATTTCCATTTCTTATGGTTATTTGTCATTAAAGTTTTTTTTTAAGGAATTGGTTTAAATCAATTTTGAAAATTAGCATGGAGCCAAAAGACATCAAGACTGGCTAAAGAAAGCCTTGTATTGAATTTAAAAAAATAATAAATCTTTTCTAATTACCTTTTGCTTTCCTTTTGCTTTCTTTTATTGTTTGCTTTCCATGGGAATTTGTTGTTTTAATAGAGAAATGGGAATATGTTGCTTTGAAAATAAAGCTCCTATTTTCTTATCCCAGTGATAAAGAAAGCGGCAGAAAGGGGCAGAGATAATACAGAGCGGGAAGGAAGCAGCTTTGTGACTGGCCAGGCCAAGGCAGATTTTATGATTTGATGATTTTTTAAAGCTACTAGTATACAATTGTCAACTGGTGGTCATTGATGTTAGTGCAAACTGAATGCCAACAGGAATCCTCAATTTGTGGTGAAGAAGAAAACTTTATTCAGTGCAAAACAGCTCAACTGTGATACAGCAGGGCTGTGAAAACAGCACGCCTATGAGGCAGCCCTGGGCCAGGCCCCTCTGCAGCCAGACTGCCCTGCTCGCCTCTGTTCTTCCCTGGTCTGCTCTGCACCCATCTGCTTTGTGCTGTGCTGGTCTGCTCCCCTCCACTGCATTCTGTGCAGCTCTGCTTTGTGCTGCACTGGTCTGTTCTACTCTGCCCCTGCGAGACATCTTCAGGATTTCAGCCTAGCCAGGGAAATGGAGTCTTCAGTCTTCAGTGAAAGGGAAAGTGCACTCCCAGAGGCAGAAGGGAGCTAGCTTGTGTAGGCAGAAGTCCCCACCCCTGGCCTCTGATTGGGCCATCCTCATGCAAATAAGGACTCCAGATCCTTTCAGTTTGTTTGGTCCAAAAAGGACTGCCCTGTTTGGTCAGAAAAGAGCCACTCTGGTTGGTCAGAGCTGTGCAGCTCTGATTGGGTGTGGAAAGCCTCAGTCCCCTTGGCTGAAATAGGATTCTAGGAGGCTGGTAGGATCCTTTAGGAAAAAAAATATTCAGTCCAGTTAGCCACCAGGAGCCCTTCTTAATAGGTAGTGTCTTAGAGTTCACATAGTTGAAAAGATCAATTTAGATTAAATAACTTTTGTTTCTCATTCTAAGTTTCTAGAATTCTGTTAAAAGCCACTAGGAATTTTGAAATCCTCATATTCCTGTGTATTCTCAGTATCTTCTTATACTCTGCAAAGTTAGATGGGTTTCCTGTTGAAGAGATTATTTACCTTCTAGTGTATATTATCTTGTATCATAGTGGTTTCTAGCCTGTGAACCTCCAGGCCCATCAGAGATCATGTTCCTATTTCATCAATCAGCAGACACTAAAATATAACGGCTATTTGGGGAATGTTAGGGGAGAATGCTGTGAAAATTACTGCCATTAAAAAGTTCTCAGTTTTGCGAAGTTTATTATAATTAGGCTTTTTCATTCTCTGTAATTGATCCTTTATAAACAGAAGAAACATCAATTAGGTAAGTTGTTTCAAAGCCCCCATGTAACCAAAATATATGTAGACCCATTTTGAGACATTTTTACTTTTTCAGACCTTAGACCCTGAACCCCACCACTTGTCCTTGACAGCGCTCTTTGGGAAGCAGGACAAGGCTATGTGTCAGGAAACTGTGGAGCCTCCACAAACCTTCCAGCAGCAGCAGCAGCAGCAGCAGCAAGAGAAGCTCCCGATTAGGCAGGGGGTTGTGCGTTCCCTGTCCTATGAGGAACCCAAAAGACATTCACCCCCTATCGAGAAGCAGCTGTGTCCAGCCATTCAGAAACTGCTGGTCAGGAGTGCAGACCTCCACCCATTGTCAGAGCTGCCTGAAAAGCAGCCCTGCAAAAATGGCAGGACCCATTCTGTTGGGGAAGATGTCATGGGACCTGTCCACCCAGGCTCTCCTCAGAGCATCGGGACCTCCCATCATGAACACAGTGCTTCCAGCACCCAGAGCCTGTTAGAGAAGCTGCAGAGTGCCCCGGGAGCAGTGAGCAAGTACGACCCCGGGATGCCAGCGCTTGCCAGCCCAGCTGCCCCAAGCTTCAGCATAGCCCTCACTGCTGCCACCCCTGCAGCTCCAGTCAAGGGGGTGGCTCAGCCACCACTGTTATATTTCAATGGCTCCCTTCCACCTCAGGCACTAGGACATCAGGCTCATGAAAAAGAACCGTCCACGCTCCCAAGACAAATGCTCACTTTCTCTGGCAATCAGACTAGTGGTTCTGGAGTAATCTCCCCTCAAGAGTTACTGCAGAAGCTTCAGACTGTGCAGCAGGAGCAGCAGCTGCATGCGTCCAACCGACCAGCCTTGGCAGCTAAGTTTCCTGTGCTAAGCCAGAGCTCGAGAACAGGGAAGCCCTTGGAATCCTGGATTGACAGGACATCCTGCACAGACAAGCAGACGCCTCTTTTCCAGGTAAATGTCCACCGGGAGGGGTTGGGGGAGGGGTATTACTGTAATACAGTGAAATTTAGAACCAGTTTCTGTTCTCTAGGAACATTTTTATTCAGAAGTGTGTCAAGGCCTCCTATGTACATCTTATTATCACCTAAACCTCCTGCCTGGAAAGAGAATCTTTTCTTTGCTTAGCAACCTTCGCAAGATATAAGGTCTGAAGACATGGATGTGGGAAAGAACATAGACACGGGGGGTGAACCCTACTTTTTGCACAGACTTATGATCTGCATTGAAATCACTCTGAGATATTAAGCATCTGACCTCTTCTTGTTATACTTGTCTACAATAAATTGTTGTTTGTCCACTTACTCAGTAAATACTTCCGAGCACTTACCCCTGCCAGGCACTGTGCTGTACGCGGGTGCAGAGCGGTGAGGAGGCAGGCATGTTGCCTCTGCGGAGCCCACAGGCCCCGAGGGGCTTGCAGTCAACAGAAAAAACATACCATTAACTCCATAAAGGCACAGCCATTTTAGTTTATGTCGTTTGTGTAGCTTAATGAAGGTGGAGAGAGGGATAAGGATGCCTCTACCCCGCTCCCCACATGTCTACACACACCAGTTTCCAGAGAGGGAAAAATACTGTGATTTTTAGAAATCATCTGTCCTTCAAGGAAGACGGTTTTTTGTGTTTATCAATAACTTAGAACAGTGAGAAAACCACAAGCTACTCCATTGCCTGTGGGTAACATCTGGAGATGGATCTTTTCTCATGTGGGTACAAATTCATTGAAAATACGATAGGTTTAAAAATGAGGCAGTTCTCGCCATTACATACATCGTCATTGGTTGGTTGTCATATTTTGGCAAATAGCTTATAATGGTTCCTCAAAAATCTTCCACACTTTTTGAAAACCAAGATCATAAGCACGCAGTGTAAGTCTTTGTGTCTGTGAGGCACTGAGTCAGAGTGCTCTTGTTTATTTTTTATTAAAATCTCAAATCTGAGTATGTATTTCTATGGAAACAGTATTTGTCACTCATCCTCATCCCCGTTTCAATGTAATATTATCCCCCTTTTTATATGACTTTTTCTCTTTGGTGGCTTAGATTGGACCCTAGGAGAATTGGGGTTGATAGTTGGACATAAACGTCTGCATGCAGAATTCTCTTTTCTCCCCAGTGTTCACGGGGAGGGTGCCGGGTAAGCAAGTATTCCTGTCTGCCCACACTGTGCTGGCCGTCCCCATTTGGGGGCGTCCGTTTGAGCCCCTGTCCTCCTAATAGCAGATAATGACAGTTAAACAATCTGCCTTCCTCTAGGCTAGTTTCTGCCCAAAGAGATACCAAGGGAGTGATTATAAAATTATAGCAGCTTCTAGATCACTGGCCTTTATACCCCGAACTCGAGTTCTTGTGGGGCATTAAGAGGCTGATAAGGAACATTCTTTTTTTCATCTGAGTTAGAAACAGATGAGAGAGAGCTGTAGCGGTCAGACAGGAATCGAAGTGTCACTTGCATAACTGGAAAAGCTATTGGAAGACTTGGTTTTAGGTTTGTTAGCCAAGTGAGGTAGGCAGGCGGGCCCAGCCAGACAAGTCACTGGCAGTGCTTTGCATGACCAGCCCCCAGGGACCTGCCCCTGCCATTCGAGCCTGGAAAAGCAGGAGTTGAACACTCTCTGCAAGCAGGCAGATCCCATCAGGAAGGACCCAGGAAGGGTGGACCCGGGAATTATGCCTCCCTCCTGGTGAGCAGTGAGTGAGGTGGAAAGGTGTGTGCCTCCAACAGCTCACATAGTTTGTTGGGCCTTTAGGTCAGAGTGGTAGACAACTAGCCCCGAGGCGAAGGCCAGCAGTCCTAAATGCATATTGCCAAGTGATGATACTAAAGCAGAAAAATGAAGTGTTGCTGAGAGGCCACGGTCTATACACAATGGGAAGAGTGGTCGCCACAGCAGTCTGTGCTGGAACTGCTTAGTAACAACAAGGGAAATGTGGAGAATCAAATGGGAATCAGTTCTCCTGTGAGCTTTTCCCATCTAGTGAAGTCGTGAACAAGATTTAAACTCACCTATGTCCACTCTTGGAAGTGAGCGGCCTCTTTGTCTCTGTATCTGTTGTTTCAGTGAGTTGCTACTTACCTCTGCCCTCTGTGTATGTATTTGTTACGAGCAGGTCATCTCACCTCAGCGCATCCCTGCTACTGTTGCTCCTTCTCTGCTCATGTCCCCCATGGTGTTCACACAACCCACCTGCAGCCCACCAAAGGAGAGGGACAGCGGGCTCTTGCCCCTTGGAAGCCAGGAACCAGCTGCCACCTCCACCAGCCTCCTTCTGCCTCTGCAGAGCCGGGAGCCCTCCGTACTGAGCAGCAACCCACTTACCAAGCTGCAACTTCAGGAAGCCCTGCTGTTCCTCATTCAGGTAGGGCGGCCCATCATCTCTCTTCTGCCTTTACCAATTCTGCTCACCTGCTGGTAGCCACTCCGAGATAAGGACTCAGTTAGTGAATGTCTTCTTAAGTACTGCCCGGGAACAAGAGAACAATGTAACCGCTCACCTGGAACCACAATGGCTCTGTGCCTAGCTGGGTGAGACCCAGAATACTGACTGTGGCTTTAGGTGTCTCAACACCTTAAGGATTTTGTAATTTGGAGGACTAAGTCCTTTAGTCTGTCACCTGTCAGAAAAGAAAGGAGCAGACACTGTGATTAAGGATTATAGATGCTGTGGAGTAGCCAGACCCAGAGCCCACCACCAGGAGCAGAGGTCCTGTCATCTTGAGTGAGTGGCTGCGCTTAGTTCAAGCAGATTGTTGAACAAGGAACAAGCAGGTAGGGGAGCAAGGAACGGCTGTGACTACAAAGGGCATGTTTTACAAATGATTTTGGAACCTGTAATTAGGACAGGATAGAATGATGGGCCTTCTTTGGCAGTCGTGTGTCTTATTGGTCTCTTATGAAATAATAACAACAACAGCAGCAGCTAACATGTATACAGAGCTTTGTGTCAGGCACTGTTGTAATGCTTTCCATACATTCATTCATTGAATCCTTATACAACAGCACTGTTATTTTTTCTATTTTAGAGACAAAGACACCAAGGCTAAGTGGCCTGAGGTCGCACAGTAGTGAGTAGCAGAGCTGGGATCCAACCCCGGTCCGGCTCCAGAGTGCTCCCTCCCACGGCCTGCAGGGGGTGCCGCAGTGGTAGCAAGACTGCTGTCCACCTTGCAAGGCTTATCCTCAAGTTAATGACAGGCCTCAAAAAGTGGAATGCTTTTCTCCAGACTCAGACGCCTCAGTTAACATCTTTAGGTTTTTTTTCAATAGACAGTCTTTAGGAAAATTGTTGTGGTATTTGGCTTAAGCTTCAGATGGCTTTTAGACAGCAGGCCAGTGCTTTGTAGCTGTCTCATCTTAAAAAGAAAATGGTCTCTTTTTGGTAAAAACCTTTTTTTTAAGGTGACATATTTTAGAGAGAATGGAAGCAATAGGGCTAGAAATCAGCTGTAAGTGTGAAAGTGGAAGAATATCTGCAAAGAGGGGCAAAAAATGGTCGTGTCCTGCTAGTTCACAGGTATCAGGATACCAGTTTTTTCCACCCTTTTAAAAAATGGTAAGTTCATAAGGCCTTAGATGCAACATCTGTGAGCAACAAAGGAAAAAAATAAAACAAATTTGAATTTTAACGTTCCAAATTTCTTATGGCTCATTTCATTTAGATTACATTGTTCCAAAGCTCTCTGTGCAGGAGCCAAGACTCTGAAAGTCCAGAGCAGTCCTGGTACATTGATAGTGAGAAGCGATTTTCCCTCCACTCCCTGCACACACTTTACTTTTTCCCATGTTTTAGACACACTTTCCTAATGAACTGTTAGAAGTCACTAAGCAGTCTGTTTTTAGTGTTTGCCTGTTGGTAGGACACAGTAGGGACTTTGTGACCACTGTGTAAGAAAAACAGGGATAAGTAGCTCTCCTTCATTGCATGAGAATAATGCTAACTCTGTGTGTGGGGTGCCAAGAGGGAATGAAGGGGAATGTGGAATGTGGGTGAACTGCTAAAGCTGTAAAGGATTTGGGTGGGAGGCAGAAGTCTCCAGAATTAAAAACAAAACCACTGATCAGACCCGTGATTCTCCCTCAGCCCTTAGCCAGGCAGAAGAGCTCAGAGACTGCCAATTTAACTGCTGTCCACTTGCCAAGGCCAAAAACTTTCCATAACTAATGGGAGAATTATACTGGCTTTGATGAGATGCCAATGAAGCATATTGCAAGCAAAATCTTAACTAATGCCAAAAAATAAAGTATACGCATTGGAGGACCTTTAAGAACCACAAACCATCTCTTAACCAAGCTTTGAGAACCGCTGACCTGGATTGCGTCCGCCGTATCCAGCCCTCTGTGTTTTCACCAGCAGACCCAGGCTTTTCATGAGCGAGCCTCGTTCCATGTACCACATGGCTGGGGTGCCCATCTCTGCTGCATGTAACATACTGACCGTGGACAACCAGCAGCAGATTATCTGGCCTGGCCTTCAATCCCACTTGACATTCAAATGTGCAATTTAAACTACCAGCTGTCAGATAAGTAGGTAGAGATTAGCTTCTTATGATCAAAGTGCCAGTTCAGCTCTAAGACAAAGGAAGCCTTTTGTTTCTGCCCACCAAATCACCTTCCCTTGGGTCTTTTGGTTTTGTTTTCCAGAATGACGACAACTTCTTAAATATAATCTACGAAGCTTATCTCTCCAACATGACACAAGCAGCCATGAAAAAGACTATGTGAAAGCAAAATACTTTAAAACTGATTTTCAAGGTCCTCCACTCAAGGTTCTTTCTTGTTAAGTGTCGTTACCCTAAATGTTTCTGCCTTTTTAAAAAGTGTGTGTAATATGAAGTAAAATGTTTCAGACATTTTTTCAGGCAAACTTTAAAAAAAAAAAAAAGATTCCTTCAGCATACCTGGTACTGAGAATTGAGTGTGTAGAAAAAGTCCTTTGCTCATATCACACAGCAAATGCCAAGCTTAATTATTTCTTTTCTTACATGTATGGGACCATTTCATGAAGAACTAGCCTCTCCATAGGGAAGGCTGTTCTGGAAACTTGGTTTCTTTTTTTAATGGCTCTGGTTAGTCTGTGAACACAGAGCATGTGTCAAGTTCCCGTTGCTGAGCCTCGTGTGCCGCATTGCACGCCCACCACAAGGTGGCAGTGTCACCCCGCAGACTCACCTGCGCAGCCTTTATCCCTCCTTTGGAAGTTAATACTGGTTTGCCTGTACCAGACAAAATAAACTTTTCGTTTGTAAAAATGCAGTTGGCATATTTTTCCCAGGCCTTTGAAGGAAAATTATTTATAAATGTATTTATAGCTAGTTTCTAGAGGAGAGTTGTTCTAGGAGGCCGCAAATGGCCTCGATTGCCAGTAACACCTCGTTTATCCCAGCTGTTTCTTTTGGACTCAACCAGCAGAATATGCCTGCCTATACTTCCAGATGAACATTTTATTGTTTTTAGCAAAACATGCTGAGATGAAGGTCACAGAGGATTTTAAGATCTTTCCTTAGCCTCTGAGGATAGGTAGTGGATGGTTTGGAGGCATAATGATAAGACTCCTTCAAGCTATGTAGCAGATTGGTCTTTATGTGCAGAGATGAGGAGCTCAGTATTGCAAGGGGTCAGAAGAGAGCCCTTGCCAGGTTGTTAAGGCCGAAAAGAGTGGACCTGGGAATCACTTCCTGCTGAGTGTTAGTAAGAAAGAAAGCTTTGCATTTCTATAGCCCTTTTTATTCTGGATCATAAAATGATCTTTAGATGACTGCACAGAAGTTCTATTCTCATTTTATAGGTCATAAAAGGAGGCACAGGAAAAGTAGGTCTCCTCACAGCTTCTGATGCCGAGACTGGGCTTTTGGTTTTAGACCTTTATTCAGGCACACCGTCAAGTGAAGGGCTGATCCGAAGGCCACCTGCCCGCTTCCCACAGGAGAGTACTTCTTCTGAGGAGAAGGGGTGGGCAGAAAGGCAGTGACCCCTACTGAACCCTTGTTTTGTGCCATACTCAAGGCAGAGGAGTCTACTGTCGTCCTCCTACATTTGGGAAGAGACAGTTTCTTTTGTTTCTTTGATATCTCCTACAACATCTAGCACAGTGAAAAACCCATGTGATATTCTAACAAAATACTTGGGATTGATAATTGCTTATATAATATCTTAATATTCTTATAAGGAGACTGGGGCAAGGAGAGAGACATTCATGGATCCATTACCCAAAATCAATGACTGTGCTCACTTCGTCAATACATAGACTAAAACTGGAACAAAATCAACGATACACGTAACTGCTGGCCAGCCTTTTTTTTTAAAAAAAAAAATCTCTTTGATCTTTATTACATATTTAGAGTTGCTTCTCTTGCTAAGGAGAAATTCCATTCTAAATGTTTCTAATATATTTGGGGTAACAAATGGCTAATTTCATGAAAATATTTTTTTACCTCAGCATTAAATAAATAAAATAGAAAGGAATGTCAGTTGCAACAGCTAATATGAAAAGAGGCACATGATGTGATAAGAGAATGAACACTCGCCCAGCGTGGCCAGACCTACACTGCAGGCTGCACCTGCACCTCTGTAGGTCAACACCACAGGGATTGTTTTGAAAATAATAAAGTCTCCGTTCTTTACTGGAATTATATACTTTCAAAGTGACAGGCCCAATTCGTTTGGACCAAAGACTAAGTCACCATCTTAAAGGACACTTGGTTCTGGAGTGCTTATTCCTTCTATACGGTGAAGCAAAGAAGAGCTGTGAGAAGTGGATTAAAGGGGTTATCTAAGGCACCCAAAATTAGATTTCATATATAAAACACACTTTCCTTTTTCCCACTGCCGCCACAAGTTCCGAGACCATTGCGGACCCCACTCCTAGACGTCACTGACTCCTGGGCGGCAGTTCTAAGCTAACTGAATTTCAGACAGAACCCTGAGATTCTGTTCCTAAAGACGGCATTGTCCTGTGCAGGGGGTTTCAACCTTGTCCAAGTCATAGATAGGAGTCAGTTCCGCCTGATGCAGGGGACAGAACACAAAGGCTTTGTCAGTCAGACTTGCCTTCAGTACCTGGACGAGTGAATTTTCTTAACACACTGTTTTCATTTGTAAAAGGAAAATAATCCCCACCCAACAAGGTCCTTATAGGGATTAACTAGGAGCAACACATGTAGAATGCCTCTTCCTGCCATGCACTCGCAAGGAGAGTTCCCCCTGCCCCTCTGCCTTGTCCGCTGTGCCCAGTCCTCACTGCCAGGATGAGACCCGCCGCTGCCTGCCTGCCACCACAACCTAAGTGTTCTGTCTGGCGTTGACACACGTGTCTATGGGCACTTTGCTCTACCCCCTTCTCCCTTCGCTTCTTTATCAATAAAATGATGCTTCTCCCTTCCTGCCAAAGCAAGTGCCATGAGCTTTTTAAGACAAAGATGCCAGTTTAATCCAAGACAGTATTGTTGTTACTGCCCTACATTCATGGGTAAAGTGCCATTTTAATTGCAGAGCCAGAGAAGGCAGTGCTGTCTGATAGGATTTATAGTTCCTGAATAGTCTTCTGAAAAGACACACACTGTTCCATCTCCCCCCTTGGAATGTCAGGCATGGCGGTAATTGGAGAATGAGAAAAACCTTTGTTAGCATCTTCAAGAATTCCTGGTATGCGGACACAGCTCTGCTGATGCCCACAAATGGATTCTTCCAGCTCGTTCAAAAGGTAGACCAGGGCAAAAAATTCCCAGGCTGAGGCTCTGCCATGAAGGCATACGTTGTTTGCATCCAGTGTGTTTATTCTTCCCTCAAACACTATTAGACCAACACTTTTCTAATGTCCTCATACAGACAGGACTTGGCTTTCTTCCTCTTGAATGAAGAGGGTGCAAATCAGAGAAAAAAATGCCTTTCCTCCTAAAGAAATGTCTACTATTGAATAGCATTAGCCCTCTATAGTTCTCTTGGGTGCTAAAGAGAAAAACCAACAGCTGACACATATTAAGGTTTATGTCCCTGGGTGTATAATTCTAAAGATGGGAGGTGTCAATCAAAGACTGGACCTCTGAACACCAGGCTGCACTTGGGTTCTACCATATGTCAATGCAGACACAGGGAAGAAGAGGCGCTCAGAACTGAACTGTAGGGATAACTCTGTTTGGCAGGGCTGGGGTGGGGTAGAGGCAGAGGGTGCAGTGTTAGCAGTGATGTCTCCAGACTCTGGACAAATTGGCTGCTCCCACCTCCTGGCAATATAGAAGCCTTTTTTTTTTTTCCCATAGTTCCTACTCTATTTAGACATGTGTCTCCTTCTCCTTTTTCAACAAATTCAGCTTGCATCCCAGGCTTTGGAATGTCGAGCCATCTCTGAGGTTAAATTTACCATTTGCAGCCAGCAGGTTGTAGCACCACTGCTATATTAAAGTTGCCTGGCTGCAAAAATTGGTGGGTCTCACCAACATTTTGCTGAATAGTTGGTTTTTAGGCTTCAAATGCTCTCCCTCTTACAAATAGGAAAATGAGAGGGGAGCTTATAAATACTTGGTATATTTAACTCAATCTTGAGTATTAAATAGAGTTCCACTGAACTGAGTTACAAGTAGTGCCTTCCAACAGCTCAGAGTACACAAATAAAACTGTGTGTGCAGATCGTGGTCTTAAAACATCAGCGGGGAGGTTGGAAGCAGAGCACTGTCGGTAATGTTTTCCGGGGGCTGGGCCATGCAGACAGGCCCTGTGACTCTGAGCCAGCTAGCACAGCCCACACTATGCAGCCTGGGCTTCTCGGACAAATTAAGGGCACAGCAGGAAGGAAGCAAAATATGTTCTAAATAGTCAAGAGAAAGGATGGGAAACCCTACAGTTGAAAGCCGAAATCTAAGAATTCCCCTGCAGGTCTGAGGACAAACGTAAAAGGCACTGAATATCTAGGTGAGAGTTGAGGTAGAACATGCCATGGAGGTTGGCTGGCACTGAAACAGACCCGGGGGAGGTGGGGACCGTGCCCAGCCTTCGCGATGCTGAGCTGGTGTGCAACAAGGCCACCCTTTTAGAAGACTAGATGCTGGCGGGGGTCCCTGATGGAGGCTGCAAGTCCCACCCAGCTGTGTCCACGCATGATTCGATGGAAGATGCACCCCAGGGAAAGGAGTCCTCGGCTCCTCCAAGAGATTTTTTTTCTCACTTCCTACCACCTGGCCAGTAGATAACGCCCACCATGACTTTTCTCAGCACAGCTAGAGCCTGCATAATTCACCCAGGGGCCCCAAAGGTCACGACGGCAGTCCCGACCGCTAGGTTGCCATGAGCTCCTTATCCCACATGTACTTGGAGTCAAAGAGATCTGGATTCTAGTTCTACCACCGCCTGTCTTTTTCCTCGACCAAGTGTCAGGGAGGAAGAATTCTTGTTTGTGGCTATCGTGCCCCCATAAAAATTGTCACTCGGGGTCAGAGAAAAGCCATCCAGTTTGTGCAGCGGCGTTTTCTGTTGGACAGTGGCCCTGTGGAATGGGCATGGGAGGAGCTTGTTCTTCACGCCCATCAGCCTCAAAGGTTAGGTGCATCTCAGCTCCTCTGTGTTGCCATGCATGGCTTGTCATAAATCTGTCCTGAATTCCGTTTCTGCTTCCATACTTTGTGCCCATAGCACTTTCCAGGGTTATGAGTTTCTTAGATTTTATTCCCTTCCGTGTACATAGTAGTCCACCCAGTGTGCCCGGGGACTAAGAAGCTGTGGGCTGACAGGAAGTCCATAAATCACAGACCCTTACAGGACGGGGGGCACTGTCCCGCAGTGCAGTGCCGGCCTGTGTGTGGATGTCCGTGGCCCGTCAGAAGCCTCTGCCTTCCCTAGACCAAACTCAGTGACGTCAGCTAAGCGTTGCTCCTAGCTGTGGGTTCCTGACAGTTTTTCATCCTTCTCAATGCTTTTCTTTCCCCCTTAGTCTGCTTTCACTGGGAGATGTCTGAGGAATGTGCCTCATTTGGTTTCATATATTCAGGAAGCGTACCTATTTTTCCCATCCATTGGAAGTGAGCTGCTTTCCCCCAAACTCTTTACCACATACCAATTTGGAGGGGGGAGGGTGGCGCTTCATTCATACGTGTACTCACTCAGTAATCATGTACCAACATGATTTGTGTGGAGGCACAAAGGTGAGTAAGACCTGGCCTCTGCCACAAGGATCTCACAGTCCAGTTGGAGGGAGACTAGTTTTAAAACATGATAAGG